AAAAAAAAAAAAAAAAAAAAAAAAAGAGGAACAAGGGAGAAAAAGGCGGCTAATTACAAGTTCGGATTATTGTTATTACTATTGTACTCATGGATTTAAATTTTCACGTTTTCGATGAAAAATATTTTTAATGCTTGAAAAAACAGGGTTTTAAGAAATACCACTCGAGGCAAAAAGCGTAAAACAAGCGTGCACCGTATAATGCGGAACAAGGGACGGGAAATCGGTTTATCCCAAAAAATGGGCAGCGCAGTAATGATGCCAATTAATGCAGATCGAGTAGCGCCGTCATGGATTGTGGCGGGCTTGTGTTCCGAAATATTGTTCGCGATACGGCGAGATTGTTAGGATAAAAATTTCGCGCGCAAACGTGACGTATTAGCTGGACGAGCGAGGCATAAAGGCGTATAATTACCAGTAGGACGTTCGATAAATTGTAACGAAGATAGAGTGACACACTCGTGAAAGGAGCGTGTTTAAAGGGAGCCGTTTCGCTAATTGAAGAAAATTGCACACACGAAAAGGCTTTTAATTAAATTGACCGATTCAGCGAACGAGTTGTATTTATCTACCGTTTTATCGAAATTAAAAAGAATTGGTATTGTCAAGAGAGCCTATTTACAATTGTCAATGCTACTTGTTACTTTTTTTTTTTTCGAATATGTATGACGAACGAATCGATCAAATTCCTTTGCATCGTAATTTATTGAAAAAAATTAAATGAAAAATTGATCTTTTTTCAGTTACCCGGCAGTTCGACGTTTTGTATAAAATTCAAGTTGCTGCTCGTAGTAACGGTTACGACTTATTAAGGGAGTTTTCGCATTTACGCTGTCGAATGGGTACAAACGTGTGCGCGACGTGTTGAAAATTATAATTCCCCTGCGTATACTTTACAGTGTTGCCCGTACGAATTTTAAAAGGTCTCGATGTTCAATTTAAAATTTTTTAACACGTAACACGCGAACAGTGTTGTGCGTGACTATTATTAATAGGGGTAGGAAAAAATCCAATCGAATCGAGTGCGGTTGTAGCGGCGATTTTATCGTTCGTCAAGATGAAATTTATAACAGCCGTTGCGCTTAATTTGTTTCGAGTGATCGAATGGCGTTCGAATTTTTTTCCTACGTGCAATTGTTCTATTTTTGGCGTGACCGTTTAGTAAATTTTTCCACAATCGTATATATTTACTTACCGTTTATATGTTTCCGTGTGTGTTTCATTCGTCTGTTTCATTTCACTAACGATGATTGATGCTGTTCGTTTATTAGCACACAATAATCCGATGATAAAAAAAAGTTTCCAATAAGATACGTGAATTTATCCATTAACCTCTAATGACGCGAATTTATCTGCCGACCATGGGAATCGAGCGTGGAATCGAGCTAACGATGTCTCGCATCTACGCTTCTATTCGTTAGTTGCGTGACGTCACGATGCAAAAAGGCGGCAACTGTGGAATCAGGCGTTCGGTGTGTACATTTTTTCGTACGGCGATGTTTGGATCGTTCTGTTGCTATTTTTGTTGCAATTCTTTCAAACAACTGAATAAATGTGTGTTCCCTATAATGTGAGACGTGTAAATGAAGCGGAAATGTGGATGGATGATATATTCAATAATAAAAGATGAATCGCAGTTAGGTAAGTACGATTCCAACCTTACAATTTCATACGAAATGACACTATGCATATTGGTATCTAAATATATGCTAATTATGAAATTAATAAGTATCAATTTAATAAGGGTCGACATTATAATATCATGACACTCAATAGATGCCCTGAATGTCTATTAAATGAATATAATTAATTTTGCTATGTAATTGTCTATTCGATATAAAAGTTCGATTCGATATAAAAATTCGATTGTCCATTCGATTGTAAAAATGTTAGGCTATGATTACAATGGGCACAGAGGGATCGTCCAGAAAATGATACTCGTTTTGAAATAACAGCAATACAAATACATTTTAAACAGATTTTTCGATCTGTATTTATAACTTTAGTATATATACTAAGTTATTTTTCAATATAATCGCCAGCTCTATTTGAACACTTATCGTAACGTTATACGAGTTTTTGTTATCGTCATACGCTACCGCCACCAATTCACATAACCATCGTCTTACGCAATCTTTTAAATCATCGTTTCTTGTGAAGCATTATCGACCAAACAATCCTTTAAGTTTTGCAAAAAACTACGATGAACATCATTTGCAGCAAAATCGCAGACACGTTCTTGAGCTCCTTTGTAGTAAGAGACGAATGTTCGCAATCACGTACAGTTTTTCTGTCCCTATTGAATTCCCGCATCCATGATCTTACCAACAGTTCATTCATAACTCTACTACCTATTTTAATTGCCATTTAATTTATTTAATAATTTACTTAATTTAATTCAACAAAACCCTCCATTAACTGCTGTAATCTGGCAATTCCTTTGGTAATTCCTGTAATTCCTGTAAACTGGTGAATTCCTTTTGGAAGAATTTTTTCAGCGTTCGAAATTCGCATCATCATTTCAAACGTATGATACAACGACAATACTAAATATTTAAACACAAAATTTTGTATGATTTATGTCGATACATGAACGAAGCTAGACAACCTCCTATAAGTACGTTCTATCGTTTTATGTGACTTCTATATATAAACGGGTAGTTCTCTCTGGACGACCCTCGTATATTTGATTGTTCTGACGTATTCGTCAGAATGACAATTTGTCAGGACACGGATCCACTGTAACTACAGGTTTGTTAGACGTGAAGTATAGAGTGTGCATTATTCAAATGACAAGTCAAGGTTTTACGAAGGACATAATTTTCATCTATTTCAAATAACTGTTCGAAATGTCAATCGAAACATGACACATAAAAACGAATTGAAACAACAAACTCAATATCTTGTGTGTTGATACAAAGCACAGGTGGTTAAACGCACATGAAAGTAAGGCATTGTTTCGAGAAATGTGTACCATGCAATTGAAGAATCAAATAACCGTGGTTCCCTTTTTTCTTTTTTTACATAAAGCTATTAACGTTTATTCATCGGTTAAATATTAATCCCTTCTATATTTGACATTTCCATCTTGTAAACGATCGTTTTTATTGGTCGTACATATTGCCAATTTCAGGGTTAATTTATATATGATTTCGGTTTGAAACGTCCATTGTAAACAACCACAGACGTAATTAGGACGGCTATACGACTGAAAACGTGTATTTTGTTGATATTTAATTTACGCTAGGTCGATCAAACGAGCGCGTTATATCCATGAATTTTGACTTCATACGCCAGGCGAGAAGGAAACGCCCCGAACCTGAAACCCAATTGCGTGTTTTTCATTTCCAAGACAATTGATGAATCAATTATTTTATCGATTACTTGTCCCATTCATTTCGTTTAAATTACCACTAGATCTTTTCCTCTAAATTCGTTTTATTTGTTTTTGACATATTGAAATTAATGATTCAAAATTCACTGTAATATAAATTAAATAATAATAATGTAAAAATAAGTAATAATGTGAAATAAGTGAAAAAAAACTATTTCAATTATTTAAAGATTTAAGTCGTTAAATTTAAACCACGACCTAGCGTGTGAGATCGCGAATGATCCTCTCTTAATAGAATCTTCTTTCCAATTGAATTCTCCAATTACTCAAACCGTTAATGCACGTATTTCAACACATATCTTTGCAATCGTAGTTACAACATTATCATTTCCTACGTTCGTTGGAAACTTTCACGTTTTCATTCGGCGTAATCCCTCAACACGCGCCTCGGTGATCGGTAAAAAGGATCGCGGACGAGGCAATTAATCACAATAAACGTCATAATTACTTAACGCGTGACGCAATAAACATGGCTCGTCGTTGGCAAAGCGAGAGGCTGACAAAAGGTTAGGCGGTTTGAAAAGACGCGGCCAGGTGACTTGTCGGTAATTTTTTAACCCGCCCCGAGTCCTCGGGGATCCAGGACACAGAGGTTGGCGTCATATCGAGATTACGCGAGGAAACGCTGCCTATCAAGCATCCACCAATCTCCGGCCGCGAGTTTCAATGAAGGTCCACTGGGATCTCGTGACTTCGTGTTGAACATAATGACACTGAATACTTTTG